TATATATATATATATATATATATATATATATATTAATTTGGTCGGGCTGTATTCGGGTTGAGCCATGGGTAAGCTCAAACTCGGCTCATGGTTTAATGCTTAATTGGGTTTAATAGTTAATCGGGTTCGGCTCAAATAAAATCGGACCGAGTTATCGGGCTTCGGGTAGGCCCGGCTCAATTACCGGTCCTATGAATTAGTACAAGTCGGTGGATTAAAGTTATAAAACTAAAAATAATTTATTATTTCAACAAGTTGAGATGATTCAAAATTATAAAAAATCAAGTTTAAGCGTTAAGTTTAGGAAGAATATGGGAACATATCCAAACTATATTACATAATAGATAATAAATAGAGTGTAGGTCTAATTGAAATTCCCACCTTCATTGAGAAACTCAAAATATGTAAGTATAGTTATTTTTTTGTAAGTTGAGTAGACAACAGGTCGGTTCAGTCCGATTTTTGGCAAAAAACCGAAATGAACCGGATATATCGGCTTTGTAAAATTAAAAATCATATATATCGATTTTACATCGGTTCAGTTTTTTAGGTTTCGGTTCGGTTTCGGTTATTTTCGATTCAAGATTAACTAAATATTCTAGTTACACAAACAAAAGAATCTAATTACAATTACTTTCACAACTAACTAATCTAATGAAAATATATCTTTAATAGGACTTAACGTAATTTAGATGATGTATTATGTTTCATTTTTTCCCTACTATCATCAACTACATTATTAACATAATAATACCATGAATCCAAGTAAAATTTTAGTTACTAAATAAATATAATACAATTTCTCAATTTATGAACAAATGCTTAGAATGAGACAAGTAATTGAAAGATAGAAAGTAAAAATTAGAAAATAAACAAAAAAATCAAAAATAAAATAAAATCGGAGTCGATCAACCTTAATCTACTACCAGAGCATAGTTGATTAATAATAACAAACCACAACTCCAAAAACTGCAAAATCAACTACATTTTACAAAAACAAAAAATATACCGACATTATAATTGATTTATACAATTGGAATCAATAAAAAAAAATTAAAATTAAAATTAAAAATTGGAGTTTATCAACCTTAATCGACTACCAGAGCATAGTCGATTAGCTTAATCGACTATTAAACATGTACATAGTCGATTAAGATTCCAGCCTGCGCGAATTTCTCCAAAAAAACCTAAATCTGCCTCCCCATCGTCACCACACCGCCGCCACACCACACTATTCATGTTGTTGTAGAAAATCCTCAAATAGTATGCGTGTTGTTTGGGAAACATGATTTCTTCGACAGATAAAATTATAATAAAACAAACAGTAATTAATTACTCCATCAATTTCTACTACAAAAATTTATGTTGCAGAGTATTCAAAATCAAATTTTAATGAAGATGATGAATTTAAAATAAAAACAAATCAATCGGTTTAAGAAAACAAACCGCATCGGCAACAACTTATTTGACGAGGTCTTCATATTGTCGAGCCGAAACCTCGTCGTCGCCAGCTTTCACGGCGAAAGATCCACCCCCAATATATCCAATTATAATGGTTGCGGCAGTTCTTCACCCAATATGTCGGCCAATGTTCGTCGTGTTGGGTTTCGGGCACGCATACGCAGCGGAAAACAAAAATTTAATGTGATTTAAACGACTTTAAAACACACAAGTACATGCCCGACAAATTAAATCAATTAATTGCGTGCCTTTGCGCTTCCAGCGAAATAAAACAACAACATACATGCTAATTATTTAACCGAATTTAAATCAATTAACATGCTCGCGTTTAAACCAAATAACATGCTCGCAATGATTTAAATCGATTACACATAATCACATAAAATCATACGAAACAAACATGAATACATATACATAGGTTTAAACGAAAATGAATCGAAACTAGGGTTTCGTGTGTTTACCTCTCGACGCGTGAGGTAGGAGTGTTTAGCAAGTCGAGATTGCTACGGAAACCAATCCGTACAATCGGGGCAGCAGCGGTGCAGCGGCAGCAGCGGCGCGTGAGGTCACGGCGGCGCGTGAGGTACACGCGCGGTCTTCGGCGCGGCGCGTGGGGCAGCGTGCGGCTTCGGCTCGTGCGCTGCTCCTCGATCCTTCGATCTACAGTCTTCCTCCTCTCGGATTTCACCTCGTATACTTCGATCTACTAAAACGTGGCACTAGACACGAAGTAGTTAGAATAAAACGGAAGAAACGAAAAGAGGAAAGAATACCGAAAAGAAACGGCCGATGGACGGCCGATTCCGGCGACGGAGAGGCGACGGCGGCGCGTGTGGTGGCCGCGGAAAGAGAGGCCGAGAGAGAGAGGGGTCGGCCGCTTAGGGTTAGGGTTTCACATCATTTGTGCAAGACCTATAAATCTTGTATTTATAGTGTCTTGCATAAAACCCTAGCGGGCTTAAGTTGGACTGGGCCCAACAGCTTAAGTTCGTTAGTACTTTCTCATGCTCGTCTCTCTTAATTCAATGACCGAAAAATTGCAACGATTACATTTTCGGAATCATTATAATTCCCTCGTCATTACGAGTGCCATCTTTCATTTTCCAACTTTCCAAAAGTGGAAACCCTAGTTCAGTGTACTTTCTAAATTTGGAAACTTCCTGATTTAGAAAGTTCACTACAACTTTCGCCTATTCTTTTCCTTTTTCTTATTCTCATTCATAATTCCAAATTACGAATGTTGGACTCAATCACATTGACTTCCAATCATGCAAAGATAAACCACTTTATCTCTGACCGTTTATTCAAAGATCTCATGTGCACGAGCAGTGTGACCCTCGATGGTTCAGGTGTAAGCTAGCCGTGGGCCCACAACCCTTTGTGGTCAAAACTCGTCCCCTTCGAGTCACGATTAAGATGAAGCTCGTTTCACCTTAATCACCCAACGAATCAAGATTGGCGTCTAGCAACTACGCGTCATGATTCCCTAGATACAAATGAAGTGCCTGCAAGAGCCTTCAGATATAGTTAACGTACAGTACGGTCCCTTCGATTCATATGTCCCGATCGAACTAGAGGCATTGGTTCATCGAGACCTCTTTATATGTTCGATGACGGTGCGATCGTTCTAAGTGTTGTAATCCTTACGTGCATGACTTAGGGAATCGAATTCTCTAATCATCACTTAGTCAGCTCTGGCCAGAGACTTAGAATGATTACAAACTTTCAGAACACACAGGACATCCAAGACTATTCTAGCGATCGAATCCCCGACTACAATGCACAGACCTCCCACTAGATTTCGGACTGCACGAACACTGGCCCTTGGGATGGTCCTCGGTGGAACTCAGGGACAGGTCACGATACAGCTGGTCCTCTAGTGAAGTCACGGTGATGTCTAGGTCATAAGGACTAATGGTGTACAACTATACCATAGATATCTCTACTCGATTATTGGGAACCACTTAGAGATTTCTAGGGTGAGGGAGTTCAGTGAACTCGTCAACTTACGAGCACCCACTTGTGCATGCCGATATCACAATACCGTTTACTGATGAGATGCAGTACACATACACTAAGTGCTAGTCTTAATGGGAAAGGCCGATATCCTCATTAGTGGCGTAACCCTTCGACTAGGAACATGTTTAACAGTTATAATACTTAAGTAAATATCTCACGATCCTAACGATCAATTACTAGTACTTGTAATAACTGTAAGGACTATATCTATGCTTGTGACAAAGGGACAAAGATATAGAATGCCAATGTGTTTTATCATTAATACGAATAAAGGTTCGTTTATTACAATAATAAATACGAAAGACCACAGCCACATGTTGGCTTGTTGATCACCTACTCTAACACGTCGGAGCAGTATTTAACGGCGTCGGTTGAATTCTGATCGAGAAGAGAAGAAGAAGCAGATCGAGAAGAAAAACAAAATAAAGAGAAGAAAGAACGAGAGAAGAGAGCAGAAAGCAGAGAGAAGAGAGAGAAGAGAAGAGTGAAAAGGTAAAGAAAAGAAATAACAACTGTGGAATATGATATGTCAAAATTTAGGGTTAAGAGTAAGGATATAATTGAAAGATTACCTTTATTAATTATTCAAACTAACAACACAACGGGTTTTCTTTAATTCTTTTTAGGAGGGGTTTTTTCTTAACTACATTTTCTAGATGAGGGCTTATTGCTAAGTTTCGTGTGTGTGTATATATATATATATATATTAGAGCGGAAGTTTTCAATTACCCCACATTTTTTTTCCTTTTTTTGGCCCCCACGCCTGTAAAACGGTGTCGTTTCATTTAATTTAATCCCGTTCTACTTCACAAATGTTTTTTCTTTTTCCTTTTCTTTTCACCTGCTTCGGCTGCACTCCATCAAGCGCGTGGGGCCCAGAGCTTTTTTCCTTCTTTTTTTACCTTTCAATTTCCAGCCACACCGACCTCCTCTTTCACCGCCTACTTCTTTGCCCGTTTTCTACAATTGCTCAAATTCATTTCCAGCGCAGAGTCGACGTTCACGTTTCCGACGAACTTAGACACATCGTTAAATTTCGGGGTGTGATTGAGTGGCTGACAAAGACGCAGATAGGCTAAGCCAATTTTTCTTATATTCGTGACATTATTTTTTTCTCACAATTTTCTTTGGTTGATTTCGTTTTCCAGACCTGCTTTGTTTCTTGTAGAAATTGTGCGACGGGTTTCGCTGAGAAATTTGGGCAGTGGATGGATTGTATTTGTGTCCGAAAAGCAGGATTATACAGATCAGATTTTTATTGGCTTCATGAGTGTTTTTTTTTTTCGTTCTCACAGTTTGAATGTTCATTGTATTCTAAATTTTGATTGCATGTGCATTTCGAATACTGATATAAGGTTTGTGGATTTCACAGTTGATGAGTTGAATAATCGGTCATTCTATCATAAGGATCAGTGCCACATGACTGATTCCTTTTAAAATATATTTGGTAGTAAAAATTACTGTGAGGCAGCACATACAATACTGAGATACTTGTAAGAAGATGATGGTGATATTGAGTGGAAACATTTGCTCTGCCATATAATATAGTACTTTGATTTCTATTGATTGACTATTGCTGGTGTATTGAAATATGACGTCGCGTCGCTTATATTTTATAGATTCTAAATTGACTCACAAATTTGCACAAAATTTAGTTTTGCATTTCGAATACTGGTATAACCGCAAAATTTGTAGGTAATTGGGGACTCCTATTCAGATTGTGGGAGGTTAAAATATATAGAATGCATCATATCACATTTTGTTTTCAAACTTTTGTCTCTTTAGATTTATTTCCTTTTTCACTACACAAATTTTGTTTACTAATGGAGTGTTGGACAGTTCCAAAATCCAACAATTTCAACAATGAAAAAGCAACAAATAATAAATATTTAAATAAATAACTGAAGCTATGGAACTTTAATGGACGCAACAATGAAAAAGCAATAAATATTTAAAAAAGTTGCACGTATTATTTGTCTTTGCTTCTGCTCGCCTATTTATTTAATTTATAAATATGCATACTGATGTGTCTAATTGGATCTTAAACTCAATTGGTCCATTAAAGGCTCAATTAAGGGAAAAGTCCAATTAGAGCACCACTTCTATAATTTTCTCCCACATTAAATCTCTACAAGAAGTTTCACACTTCTACACTTGTCCCACATCGAAAGTTTATAAGAAAGTAATAGTCAAGTTCTACTATAAAGATAAGGTATGATTCATTTGTTGAGGGATCTCTAATTTTGGGTGATATTTTAGCCTTTGCAAAGTATCACTTCCAATACCTGACTTGAGCGTCGGAGTGTAATCGCCGGGGCCATCCCGGCGAATCACTTAGTGTCTTGAATAGTGTCTTGATTTGTTTTGTAGGTTATTCGGCGGACTCACACCTTTGATCCCTTTAGACACGTGGCAAGGACCCTGGGCATTCCAGGAGACCAGTGGGCTTCGACTGACTCACCATTTTGGAACAACATCACATACATATTTGACTATCATTGTTCATCGATGTAGATTTTATTGAAGCTGTTCAATCGACTCCAACTTTATTCCTGCACCAAGATCACAACGTGGACGTTTGTGTATTGATGTAATTAGTTATAGTAGTTTCTTTGTTGTCTTCAACAAAATTTGTGTACGACTCATTGTGCATTATTACTTTCTACTTTTATTCTACTACTGGTTATTTTCGGTTGATACTCATTGTACGCCAGTAGAAGCTTGATAGTCTAGAAAACAAACATTTTTTGCATGTTTTTAGCCTTTCCCAAGCTTGAAGTGTGCCAATACAAGCTTGATAGTCTAGGAAACAAACATTTTTTGCATGTTTTTAGCCTTTCCCAAACTTAAAGTGTGCCAATACAAGCTTGATAGTCTAGGAAACAAACATTTTTTGCATGTTTTTAGCCTTTCCCAAGCTTGAAGTGTTGGTAGGATTCTCAGATTCAATAAGAGGATGATATTTTCATATTCTAAATTTGTAAAACATTTTGCAGAGTCAAATTTGCCTATGACGAGGAAGCACACGACTTGCGCAGAGTGGAAAAATGGCGAAGTTATTTATTAATTGGTTCTCTTCAATGCTGTTTGTGGTTCTGGACTTTTAAATTTACAAATGTAATCGATGTTACCATATTACAGCGGTTCTTCATTAATTCCACGATTTATCAAAAAAGCCGCAAAGGCGTCTCTTCGTAGCCTATCAATGAACTTGACTTCTACCACAAATACATGGGCAAAAAGACCGCGCCTTGCGCGGTGCACACCCCTAGTATATATATAAGAGCGGGAGAAATTATCATTACCCGACGTCGTTTCTTGTCTTTATCTCCTTTTGCTGTTCAAATCTTTTTCATTTCTCAATTTTTTTTTCACGTGCTACGACGCGGTTCGTCGATCCTGTGGGCCCCATCGATTGTTTACTTTTCTTATAAGTTGCGTTCCTTCTCCTGCTTCCACGCCGGAGGATAAAACCTCTTCGCAGTAGAGAGAATTTGTCTTTCGCTCAATTTCTTTTTCGATTTATTTCCGCGTAAACCCCATTCTCTGTGGCATACAGAATAAAAATAGAACAGAGTGAAGAGGAGAAAGACATCGGAGAAGCAGAATGTACTGCACAAATACCAGCACAGTCAGCACAAATGGTAGCACCACCACCGCCACCACCACCACGGAGGTTTTTTTCTTTCAACCTTTTTCCTCGTGTCTCGATTTTGCAACTTGTTTTTTTTTTTTTTTTTTTTTTTTTTTTTGGTATTTAGCCATAAATTCGTTCTGATTTTCAGTTTTTTTTTTTGTTTGGGCACTGTTATCTGAAAAAGCTACTGTTTAATTTTTGTTTCTCCCAAACATGCTTTGAAGAATCATCGGCGGTATTACTTACACACCCACAGATGAGACATTCTTACTGGTTTGATGATGTTTTTTTTGGGTTGGGGGTAGTATATTTTGTCTGAAAATGCACTTGTTGTTATTGTGGATGTTTTGATTTTTTCATTTTCCCCAATATAATAGGTTTTGACAAAATCAGGGATGGATTGAACTTTTATTTACATGTTTTCCTTTTTAGTTTGTCTGAAAATTAAATTATTTTGTTTACATGTGTTGATGCAGAATGGAAATAATCAACAGGGAGAAACAAAATTCAGGACTAACCATTGGCTGGTAAGATTTCAGTATCTCTGAATATATATATATATATATATTTTGGGGAAATTATATTAAATTAATTAATGCCATTATAATTTGATTTGTCTACTTGTTATCTTCTACCAAAATTCGCCGCAATTGCTGGGTTGGTAATAACGGTCGGCATTCTTATGGTCTGCCATTTATTATCACACGGTTACTTATATGGTGATTGCTCAATCCTTTGATATGTTATACTTTTTTCTCTGCTGCAGGCTTAGCTTTGATTGTTGAACGGTTTGGCACGTATTATGCAGATGAGGCGGTGCATATTGCTTTTCCATTTTTTTGTTGTTTGGGCGTTATTGTTTTGAATAGAAGGTCTGCACGAGCATTCAAATGGCAGTGGGAGGTTTTTTGTTGTATTTTTTTACTATTTTTCGGCAATCAAATGGCAGAAGAGGGCAACAGTCTTATGTTTTATTGTTACTGATGGATATGTTTGGTTAGTGGTTACTATTGATTTTGTTAGATAATTTAATTGATTTAATAAACATTTTATGGTATTAAATATAAATAGATGTCCATATTTCCCGATTACTGTAAGATGTCATATTTTTTCCTTTTTTCCTTCACAGGTGTTTCAACTTGTACATTCTTTTCCGAATCAAGGATTGCGGGATGCGGGAAGCAGGTTTATTTAGCTGGTCTTGTTTTTTCCAATTCTTATTATAGCCTAAAAAAATATTAATGTTCTAGGTATTTTTGCAAAGAAGTTATATCTGTTGAGAGTTCGATTTGGTGGGGACGCCTTCTGTGAAGAGAATTGCAAGAGGGAGGCAGCATCACCGGACCTTGCACGATGCTCATCACCTAGGTCAACTAATTTCCTTTTCCGTCGAATTAATTATATTGCCTCTGCTTTTTTTTTTTTATTCGCTGCATGTGGGTGTGTTCTATTTTTGTCTTCAATTTCTTGGTTCCTTGGTGATTTGACATTTAACAATTAATTAGGCTTTGTTTGTTATATACATGTTGGGCTGGCTTCATGGCGCAATATTTTTTTTTTCCTGTTTCCGTTTGAGTAGTTCATGTCCGGTGTTCCATTTCTGTGTCTGACACATATTTTCTTCCCTCCGCTTTTTAACTAACCGCCTTTTATAATTTCTTGGGGACCTTTTCTTTTTTGAGCTTGCTGTTGACTACATCGATTGGGCTCAGCCGCTCAGGTATACCGATGATTTTTTTGTGGGACTGCATTAAGTTTCTGTACATTTTGCGAAGTGCATTTAGAGCTATCATCTTCCTTTTAATTTTACGCATCCATTGTGTGGTTTTAAGTTTACATGCTCTGTTTTGCAGTACCTTCTGTGAATCATAAGTTTTTTCACATAAGTTTTTGGTGCCTAAAAGAATATAGACATATATATGTGTACTATGACCTGTTTTCTTTATTGGGTTTCATCCAACAAGCCTCCATTTATTTTGCTGATATTTATCTACTATTTGGTTTCACCCAGCAAGTTGAATGGAAGAGAATTTGATGTTTGGCAAAAGTAAAGATTGCATGGGTTGGTTTTAAGAAACTCAATAACTTTTACCGAGCACCGGCGACTTATGTTTACATGGTTTTGTTTACCAGCGATCTGTTCTCCTTGTGGTTACAGAGGTGGCCCTAAAGATATTTACATGGTTTTGTTTCTCTCATTTCTTACTTTTTAATTTTCGTCGATATACACAGCTCATTGCTAATGGAGTGGGCTGCGCTTAAGAGTTTATTACTACTTGTAGCATATCTCACAAATTTCCGATTAGTGATTCAGCATAATGTTGAGATCGAGGTTGTTGAAATTCTATTTCACATGATGAAACAATACGGTCAAAATTGGAGAGCCTAATTCAGTTCATATTTGTGTCATTTAATTGCTATTTTCTATGCTTCGTTTTCTATTTATTTTTTAGTTCCTGTTTTAAATACATTATTTCCTTGTTGTTTTGCTATTTCTTGTTTATCAGATTGCAAAAAGTTTGAAGCTTTCTTCAAGGTATTCACTGAATTAAGCATCAATAACAGGTATATTATTTCTTTTCTAATTCTTTTTTTTCAATTTTTCTTCATAAATTGAACTTTTATTAAAAATTGGTTCTCTTTTGGGATTTTTGTCCTGGTTTTTAGGCTCTCTGTAGCTGTAACAACCAGCAACGGATCCTTAATTGTTTGATTGATTCTTGATGTTCAATTTCTCTTTATGTATTAGATTAGTTTCCGGTGAACTTTGTTGATCGTTTTGTTTTACCATCTTACTGAATCCCTATAATATTCGCGGTAGCTGGGATTGAATTGAGGATGACGGAATAAACTGGAAAGGAAATAAATTAAGTCATTCTGCTCACAATGAAGGATTGAAATTACTGATTCGTTCAACAAAATCAGGTAAAGAATCACACAATATAATTTTGTGCTGAAACTGTCATTTTAGTCTTTCATGCAAGATCGAAAAAAGTTTTCATATATTTCCTGTTTTTATTTCTTTGTTTTGGTTGGTCTATGCACTGTGGGAGTTATTGGTTTATTCTTTTGAGTTTCTTGGTCGGTAATATTGCCACAGATCGGCTGGTTCTTACTCTTAAATTTATGATTTTTAGTAATGGCAGGAAGTAGAAGCTGTTATCCAAACGTGGAAAACACTATAATAATTCGTCGAGTACTTGTACTCTTGGTTTGATTGAAAACGTAGTAATCGGACAACCAAACCTTCACTAATTCCTATAGCATTGCATAAAAGTGGATCACGAGTCCAGGATTAGAGAGTCCAACAACAATATGAGAAAGGTTAGTGATCTCTATTATGATGTATCAACTTCTAATTTTGGACTACATTGAATGGGAACCAGCACGGCGCTTTGCGCAGTGCTCCCAACATATATATATATATATATATATATATATATATATATATATATATATATATATATATATATATATATATATATATATGTGTGTGTGTGTGTGTGTGTGTGTGTCCATTTGATATACACCCCTTGGATAGAAAATATATAGGGATAAGTCCACCTCTAAAATTCTTTCTTTGAGATACCCCTGGCATCAAAAAACCCGAAATTACCCCTACAACCCAACCCAGCCCATAGACGGATTTCAACAGAATGCAAAACCAATTCCCAAATAAACCGTCCCTCCACTATCATAACCTACCAAAAAACCACTCGAAAAATCAAACTTCTCTCTGCAAAAAATTGCACCCATATTCTCGCTACCGAGATTCACCGGAAATGGCAATCCAAACGAGGAAGGGCTAGTCATCTTCATAGACGGCAATCCAAACAACCACAACTGCAGTCAACTTCCGCTCATCAATTTCATATACCATCAACAGTAGTTACCTTCCATCAATGGTGAAGAAGACACTGGCAAAACGTAAGTTTATGGCTACATTACAATATACGTTGTTTTCCCCATCCGTTGGTACCTAATTAAACCCCCTTCAAAATTTTTTTTTTTCAGGCCGTAATCGAAAAGAAGAAATGCTACAGAACGAAAACCTAGCAACAGGTACTACCCTAATTCAACCATTTCACTACTTCAAATACACAAATTTGTGAAAAAACTGTAGTTATGTATCTAATTTTGATGTCTGACTGTTGTTGCTATTAGTAGTACTTCGTAGTCATATTTGCATATGTGGTTACATTCATGAATGCCACAGATTCTGAATTTTTTGGTGTATGTGTGTTGTTTTCATGGGTAGTATTTCGTAGTCATGTTGTCATATGTGGTCACATATCCATGCATGCTGTTTTGTTTGTGATGTTTTTGTGTGTGGGTGTTGTTGTCACTGGTAGTAATGCATAGTTATATTTTCATATATAGTCCCATCCATCATTTGCTTCAGCATTTGTGTTGTTTCTATGTGTGGGTGTTGCTGTCATTGGTACTGCTGCATAGTCATATTGTCATTTGTAGTGATGTCCATCATTTGCTGCAACATTTGTGCTGTTTTTTGTGTGTGGTTGTTGCTGTCATGGGTAGTGTTGGATAGTCATATTGATATATGTACTCACATACATACTTGCTTCACCTTTTGTGTGTGAGTGTTGTTGTCATGGGTAGTCCTTCATAGTCATATTTGCGTATGTAGTCACATTAATACTTGCTACTGCATGTCTGGGTGTTGTCATGGGTTGTAATTCATAGTCATGTTTGCATACGTAGTCACATTCATTCTTACTACATCCTGCTTACTACCTCATGTGTGTTTTGTGTGTGAGTTTTGTTTTCAAAAGTACTTGTTAATAGTCATGTTCACACCCTAACATATATATGAACATCATTATGCAGATACTGAAACAAATGAACCAACAGACACACGTAAGAAGGGAAAATGGACTTCAAAATACCGAGCCAACATGCCCTCAATCGTGTCCTTCGAAGATATAAACCTACGACCACCCCACTATGCATGTCTTCGCCGTACTCCATTCTATCATCTCGGTGTGCCATTCGCAAAACACAAACTCAGCAGAGATGACGTCCCAGGCACACAGAATGGAACTTTCAAAATAATGACGTCATACAGCAAAACAGACAGGGCATTCCATATAGGAGGCAAAAATATCACAATCACACCACAAGATTGCAAGTTAATCTTTGGCATCCAATCTGGCAACACACAAATGACTTTTGACTGGTCAAGAAAGCCGCAACAAGGACTCGCAGCACGAAGATTTGCTGCACACCCATCCCTCCACCAAAAAACTTTGAAACACCAGCTACTTCAGTGCGTAGATAGCGATAACAATGAAGACATTGAAGATGTGGTCAGATTGATGATTCTACACCTTATGTCAACTGTTCTTTTCAATACTTCAGCTGAAATCGAGTTCGGTGGATGTTCAAGTACTGCAATGATATAGATCAAACAAATGACTTCAACTGGGCCAGGGGGTAACTGATTTCTTGGTTAAACAAATCCACACAGCAAAAAAACGCGACAAAGTACATGGTTGCATACCACTTGTGCTGGTAAGTACGACTATTCACTTGGTGTCATGTACATTCACAAGTATCACTTAATGATTATGTTTATTAGATGTGAGCCTGTAGCAATCGTGCCTCCACTGGTTGATTTTGCTTTCCCAGGACTTCGGCGGTGGGATATATTCGAGCTTGCATCTACACTGAGCGGCAAAGACATGAACGATATCGATCCACAACTCGTCAGTGAGAATCCGCTGATTCCAACAGCGCAAGAACAACAAATCTTCGATGGAATTTTGGTCCTGGACGATATCAGCGATGAACATAACAACGACAGCAATGCTAGTGTTCATTATGACACTGCTAAAGATTCTAACGAGGATGTCCAAATCAAAACCTGGTACAAAAAGCGGCAGTCGTCAGATGAACTCAAGATCACCACCGAGCTGAATGAAACAAAGAGGCTATTGGAGCTAGAAACAAAACAAATGACAAAACATGAGGCCCAAGTGTCGCAACTGCAAGTTGTTGTAGAAGAACTTCATATGGAAATAGTCATGCTAAAAAACGACAAGCAGGTACTTGTTGACGAAAATGCACATGTCACTCTTCAACTTTCAAAACTACAGGAGGGTCACGCTTAACAAAGCTGATGGACCGTCTTTCGATATCTTGAGCCAAACACAGACCAACCAGAGTGAGCTTCAAGAAAAAATCAAAGAGAATGCAGACTTGAAAGCAATGAACGAATCCCTCATCAAACGTCATGAAGAGATGACAAATGCTACAACAACTGTGCACACCGAAAAATCTTTGTCGTTGACACAAGAGTTTGAAGCAGACAATATCTCAATGACAAACATGTATGAGCACAGAACAAATCGAATCTTCTTAGATGCTGAAATCACCCTCCTAAAATCAACTAAGAAGACTCATCTTGAGAAAATTAGAGAAATGGATGAAAAGATAGCCGAGTTGGAAGCTAATTGTGCAGAATATGCGTAGGCACTTGATGAGCGCCGACCAGTTCATCATTCGGACAGCGACTTTGAGATATGTGAGGAAGATATCGAGGCCAAGATAAACGACCCAAAATCTGCAGTGGAAAAACGTACTAGGTCAAAAAAACATAAAGTAACACCATGTAGCACCAATAAAGCACGTAGAGATTTCAGATACAAAAAATACAACCCATTCGTCGGCATAAGTGCGAGAGACAAGGCAATAATAAACACAATGGCAGATCAAATAGTGCATGGGAAGTAAATAAACTCTATCCATAGATATATATACAGTGACTAGTGACTACGTGACCACCAGTGACTAGTACTTTATGACTAATGACCACCGGTGACTAGTTTTTATGACTATTTATAACTATTCATACTGTAAAAATGTTTATAAATACAGTAGAACAGTGTGGAAGAATCCAGAAGGTAATATTCGTGTTCGGATTAGTCACTGTTCTACTGTAGTCACTGGTATTTATAAACATTTTTACAGTATGAATAGTCATAAAGAACTAGTCACTGGTGGTCATGTAGTCACTAGTCACTGTATATATAACTATGGATAGAGTTTATTTACTTCCCATGCACTATTTGATCTGCCATTGTGTTTATTATTGCCTTGTCTCTCGCACTTATGCCGACGAATGGGTTGTATTTTTTGTATCTGAAATCTCTACGTGCTTTATTGGTGCTACATGGTGTTACTTTATGTTTTTTTGACCTAGTACGTTTTTCCACTGCAGATTTTGGGTCGTTTATCTTGGCCTCGATATCTTCCTCACATATCTCAAAGTCGCTGTCCGAATGATGAACTGGTCGGTGCTCATCAAGTGCCTATGCATATTCTGCACAATTAGCTTCCAACTCGGCTATTTTTTCGTCCCTTTTTCTAATTTTCTCTGATTTTAGGAGGGTGATTTCAGCTTCTAAGAAGATTCGATTTGTTGTGTGCTCATACATGTTTGTCATTGAGATATTGTCTACTTCAAATTCTTGTGTCAACGACAGAGGTTTTTCAGTGTGCACAGTTTTTGTAGCATTTGTCATCTCTTCAAGACGTTTGATGAGGGATTCGTTCATTGCTTTCAGTTCTGCATTCTCTTTGATTTTTTCTTGAAGCTCACTCTGGTTGGTCTGTGTTTGGCTCAAGATATCGAAAGACGGCTCATCAACTTTGTTAAGCGTGACCCCGTCCTGTAGTTTTGAAAGTTGAAGAGTGACATGTGCCATTTCGTCAACAAGTACCTGCTTGTCATTTTTTAGCATGACTATCTCCATCTAAATTTTATCTACAACAACTTGCAGTTGCGACACTTGGGCCTCCTGTTCTGTCTTTTGTTTCTACCTCCAATAGCCTCTTTGTTTGATTCAGCTCGGTGGTGATCTTGAGTTCATCTGACGACTGCCGCTTTTTGTACCAGGTTTTGATTGGGACATCCTCGTTAGAATTTTGAGCAGTGTCATAATGAACACTAGCATTGCTGTTGTTGTTATGTTCATCGCTGATATCGTCCAGAACTAAAGTTCCATCGAAGATTTGTTGTTCTTGCTCTGTTGGGATCAGCGGATTCTCACTGACGAGTTGTGGATCGATATCGTTTATGTCCTTGCCGCTTAGCGTAGATGCAAGCTCGGATATATCCCACTGCCGAAATCTTGGGAAATCAAAATCAGCCAGTGGAGGCACGATTGCTACAGGCTCACACATCCAATACTGCGTAAATAAACATAAACAATCAGTGATACTTGTGAATGTATGTTAAGTGTATATTTATACACTTAATTGTACCTTTTAATTGGAGCTTTTGGTGTGTTTTAACGATAATTGGTGCTTAAAATGGCTATTATTTGTATTTTAGGTGCAAATTGGAGAATTGACAACTTTTGGGGTGAAAACTGCAATTTCGGAGAAAAAGTGGGCCAAAAGTGAAAAAAACAGAATTCTGGAGAATTAAAAGACCGCACGGCCGTGCGGATTTTAGTTCTCAATCTCACACGGCCGTCCGGATGGACGTGAAGGCGCAGTGAAGGAATTTTAATTACACAAGGAAACCCGCCCTATTATATTTTTGCACCCTATTTAAAGGCCAAGAGCACACAATTAGATCTATCTTTTATTTTTCATCTTTAATCTTTAGGGTTTTTATTTTTAATCTTTCTACACGCAATCAAGGAGCACAAGAACGAAGACGAAGACTTGACGAATCTTCATCATAGTTCTCCTCTTTTATTGTTATTTATAGTTTTATGATTTTTCGTATTTTTATTATGTTTTTCGTAACGAACATGCGTAGCTAAGTTTTTAATCTAGGATTTTGTTGGAACCCTATGTAGGGATTGTGAACCCTTTTTCTTGAGATTATGCAATTATGATTTTATGATTATTTCCTCTACTTGATATGATTGTTAGTGCATGAACTTGATCAATTTATGTGCTTTATCTGTGATTATTGGGATTGACTCGACAGAGCTATTTTGATAATTAGACGGTGAGTAGAAGAGCCTTCGAGTAGTTTTCACCGGATGAGTGTGTCAATTGCATGTGGTGTCGTAGACATACAGATATCACCTTAGGTAGCCATTTACGAGACTTGTTAGTTAATGCTTTATTCATAATTGGTTTGCATAGACATATAGTGAATCGTTTATGAGTAATAGACTCATAATACACGCGACAGCGGGTTATGAGTAAATTAGTGTCTCGGGTTAATAATCATGAATCATATATTTCATAATTGAGGGGTTTTGGGTGAGCAATTCTTGCATAGGGGGAAGATAAAATCCTAGGTCCGTTTTAATTGATATTTTCCCGTGTTATTTGCTTTCTTAATTAGTTTAGTTGTTTAATTAATTTAATTTGACAAACTTGCGTAGGCTGGATAAAAATCATAATTGTTAGAATTTGGTACTTAGGATTAGGTAATTTGCGTATTCCCTGTGGGATCGACATCCGACTCTCACGAGTCCACTTTATTACTTGTTTGCGATACGTGCACTTGCGTGTTGGTATTTAGCACCCAACAATGTACATGACACCAAGTGTCTATAAGTGAATATTCGTACTTACCCGCACAAGTGGTATGCAACCATGGACTTTTTCGTGTTTTTTTTGCTGTGTGGATTTGTTTAACCAAGAAATAAATTATTTCCTGGACCAGTTGAAGTCATTTGTTTGATCTATATCATCGCAGTACTTGAACATCCACAAAGCTACGATTTCAGCAGAAGTATTGAAAAGGACAATTGACATAAGGTGTAGAATTATCAATCTGACCACATCTTCAATGTTATCGCTATCTACGCACTGAAGTAGCTGGTGTTTCAAAGTTTTTTGGTGGAGGGATGGGTGTGCAGCAAATCTTCGTGCTGCGAGTCCTTGTTGCGGCTTTCTTGACCAGTCAAAAGTCATTTGTGTGTTGCCAGATTGGATGCCAAAGACTAACTTGCAATCTTGTGGTGTGATTGTAATATTTTTGCCTCCTATATGGAATGCCCTGTCTGTTTTGCTGTATGACGTCATTATTTTGAAAGTTCCATTCTGTGTGCCTGGGACGTCATCTCTGCTGAGTTTGTGTTTTGCGAATTGTACAGCGAAATGATAGAATGGAGTACGGCGAAGACATGCATAGTGGGGTGGTCGCAGGTTTATATGTTCGAAGGACACGATTGAGGGCATGTTGGCTCGGTATTGTGAAGTCCATTTCCCCTTCTTACGTGTGTCTGTTGGTTCATTTGTTTCAGTATCTGCATAATGATGTTCATATATATGTTAGGGTGTGAACATGACTATTAACAAGTACTTTTGAAAACAAAACTCACACACAAAACACACATGAGGTAGTAAGTAGGATGTAGTAAGAATGAATGTGACTACGTATGCAAACATGACTATGAATTACAACCCATGACAACACCCAGACATGCAGTAGCAAGTATTAATGTGACTACATATGCAAATATGACTATGAAGGACTACCCATGACAACAACACCCACACATAGAAGGAGAAGCAAGTATGTATGTGAGTACATATATCAATATGACTATCCAACACTACCCATGACAACAACAACCACACACAAAAAACAACACAAATGCTGCAGCAAATGATGGACGTCACTACAAATGACAATATGACTATGCAGCAGTACCAATGACAGCAACACCCACACATAGAAACAACACAAATGCTGAAGCAAATGATGGATGTGACTATATATGAAAATATGACTATGCATTACTACCAGTGACAGCAACACCCACACACAAAAACATCACAAACAAAACAGCATGCATGGATATGTGACCACATATGACAACATGACTACGAAATACTACCCATAAAAACAACACACATACACCAAAAAATACAGAATTTGTGGCATGCATGAATGTAACCACATATGCAAATATGACTACGAAGTACTACTAATAGCAACAACAGTCAAACATCAAAATTAGATACATAACTACGGTTTTTTCACAAATTTGTGTAGTTGAAGTAGTGAAATGGTTGAATTAGGGTAGTACCTGTTGCTAGGTTTTCGTTCTGTAGCATTTCTTCTTTTCGATTACGGCCTGAAAAAAAAATATTTGAAGGGGGTTTAATTAGGTACCAACGGATGGGGGAAACAACGTATATTGTAATGTAGCCATAAACTTACGTTTTGCCGGTGTCTTCTTCACCATTGATGGAAGGTAACTACTGTTGATGGTGTATGAAATTGATGAGCGGAAGTTGACTGCAGTTGTGGTTGTTTGGGTTGCCGTCTATGAAGATGACTAGCCCTTCCTCGTTTGGATTACCATTTCCGGTGAATCTCGGTAGCGAGAAGATGGGTGCGATTTTTTGCAGAGAGAAGTTTGATTTTTCGAGTGGTTTTTTGGTAGGTTTTGATAGTGGAGTGACGGTTTATTTGGGAATTGATTTTGAATTTTGTTGAAATCCGTAGATGGGCTGGGTTGGGTTGTAGGGGTAATTTCGGGTTTTTTTGGTACCAGGGGGTATCTCAAAAAAAGAATTTTAAGGGTGGACTTATTTGTATATATTTTCCATTCTAGGGGTATATATTTTCCATTCTATGGGTGTATATCAAATATACCCTGAATTCTAAATTCTAAGTATGTAAAATCTAGTTTTAAAATTGGTATGGTGGCAAGGACTCTGAAGGCAACATAGAGCCCAACTCGTGGAAGGTGAGGCTTAACCAAAGCAAACCCCCAAAATTTGTAACCATTC